CGTCCGTCATGTGTGAAACTTGCATGCCCCATCCCATATCTCCTCTGAGGGTTAGGGTATGACCAGTGAATCCCTCAGGCCCAGCTCAGCCTATGCCATCTAGGGGATAAACAGAGTCCAGTGACCAGGGTGAGTGCTGCAGGCTGTCCCAGCTCACACCGGATAGGGAAGGTAGGCCTCTTGGTATAATGTGCTTGGGGGCAGCTTGTGTGGGGAGCTACAGCTCAGCTTGTGCGAGGAGGATGCTTGCAACACTTGGTTTAATTTTGCCCAGAAGTCCTCCAAAAAATATTTGTCGCGTGTGGTCACTTGCAAAGTTTGGGTTCCTGTATGTGTTGCACACATGGCGTCCGCCATATCATCGTGTTTCCCACTTATGGAGGCTGCTGTGCGGTTGTGCTGGTCTCCGCTGGGTTGTCTCTTGGACCGGGATATCCCCCACCGGTTCATAGTGGGGGTGGCTGCGGGGCTCACTGCTTTCTGGGAGATTCCCAATTTGAGATCGGACGCTTCTCCAGGGCTGACCAGGCCACAGGTCTTTCATCCTGCTCTCCGGGGTTTATTCAGTTTATGGATCGTATGACCGCTTATGTTGAGCTCCGTTGCCGCTTGAGAGGGTGAACTGCCTTCTTGACTATTTTTCCGCTGGGTTTTTGGGCAGGAATCCTCAGTTTACTGCTGAAATTTCTGAAGCTCTTACAAGACACGTCTGCCTGGCATGGCAGTCAGGCCCCCGCCCCCTCTTTGGTTAACTTTTAAATGTGTTATGAGGGGGAACTTAATCCAAATGAGGGCAAAAACAAGGAAAACCAGAGGAGCAAACTTAGCGGATCTAAAAAATCAATTACAAACCTGAACCAAAGATGGTATAGTAGTAACAATAGAGTAGGAAATAAAACACCAGACCGAATAAAACAGGCAATAAAAAGATTATTGATGGTGAAAACATTTGTCTCTCCCGCGGGACCGATGAAGCGGGGGTACCCTATTGTGGATGCCCGCAGCGAGAGACTGAGAATGCACGAACAGTGCCTACCGGCAGTGCGGCCCCGCTCCCCCCCCCCCTTTTTTGGCCGGCGGGGGTTATCCCAGCCGCATGGCGACGGCCCTCCAGACGACGGGAGCCCCGTGCTGGATCTCAACCGTTCGCCTACACTGGCACAGGCTGTCAGGAGAACAGCCCGCCAGGAGACCTGAGCGGATGGAGATAGAACCAGAGGCGGAGAAGATTGGTAGTGAGCAGGGGGACATCCACCGCTTACACCTCTGGCCCAGCATCTACCACGGGCCTACTTCCCCGCAGACGCTGACACCAGCAAGCAGGATCAAGGAGGCAGCAGATTTCAACAGAGGGGTCCTGCCCTCGTCTCCTTTTCCTGGACCAGCTAAAATGCACCTGTGAACGACCAAAGATGGAGTAAGAATGATAAATACTCACCAAGCGGATCAGGACGGCTCGTGAGGACTTTGGCACTGCTGACCGCCAGACGGGTCCCCCGCACTGACTGCCCGCCCGCTGGAGAGGTGGGTGCCCTTGCTACTGGGTCGGGGGTCCCCGGAAAGCATTGTCCCTGATGCTGAGAGCCCTGTGGGGCAGGTCTTCGCAGTCCGTCCGGCGGACCGGTGGCCGGGAGGAGTGTGAGCCGGTCCCAAGTATGTGGCCGGCACCGGGAGAGACATGGGGGCACTCGTTTCACTGAGTTCTGGGTGGTGATGGGGAGGTGCAGGGAGTGGACTGCCCGCGGACTCAAGGTGTGGGGGTCAAGTGGACAGTTTCTACTCCTGAGTGCCCACAGCACCACGGGGGGCTCTGACAGTGGGCGGGAGCCGGTCTGGGGAAGACGGCTGGAGGCTTGGCGACCTAAGAGACGTAATGCAGCTCTGCCGGGTGGGGCCCTCATCAGACTTCTTCCAAGACCAGTATTAGTCCCTTAATGTCATCATTTTTTTTATATTTTATGCACCCATCTTTATTGCATACATAGTTTATAATTTATCAATGTAATGTTTCGTAGCTCTAAAACGGGAGGTCCATACCCCCATCATATCACCCTATGTTAAGGAACAACCTGCTTACAGTTTAACCGTTCATTGCTTATTTTCTAGATGTGTTTGTAATCACGCACGTACAGATTTTGTGGGTCCAATCTTAGGGACATCGATTACCTCTTACCTGAGGGCACGAATTAAAGACTTACAACATACTACCCTGTTAAACGTGGGGAGAGGAAGTTATACAGCAACCAAATAAGCCCCTAATGCCACATTATCTAATCATAGAATGTCATGTTAACATCTCAGAGTGAAATACTAACCCTTTCTCTGATTTTCTAATGATGAGCCCTTGTGTTATACCATAGTTTAATCTCCCCCTGCCAGCATATGGGGACTCACTAATGGGTTGCTGCGTATTGTTTAATCAAATAAAGTTGAGAATAGGCATAAAACATTATTTAACTGGACCCGTTACAACGTAGACAACAGTGCAAATACCTCGGTTCAGAGTTAGCTAAACATTGTACTGCTACCATATGCTGACCGCAAAATAAGATGCAGAGAATGATCTCTTCTAGCTAATGTTGGAATGGATATGCAATATGACATTTGCTTAACCTTAGTTATGTTACTTGTGTTCACATAATTTAACCTTTCAGCCTTACTAGACTTTGACTGTTCTCATTCGATATAAAATGCACTCTGTGGCATATGCCTATGTCGAAAGCTTATTATGATACATTTGTCTCCCCTGCGTGGGATGACTGCTTTTCCTATGCACCAATAAACTTATTCAAAACAAAACAAAACATTTGTCTCTCCCCTCACAATATAGGCAAGGCCTTTGCAAAATATTATACTTCGTTATACAATCTGAAGGAAAACAAATTTTCTCACAGTGAACTACAAGCTTTCCTTTTAAAACGTAATCTTCCTAAAATAAAACCTGAAAAACTAGAAAATTTAAATAAACCTATTGAATTTGAAGAAATTAAAAGAACAATTATTAAGCTTAGCAATCGGAAAGCACCCAGGCCAGATGGATTTACAGCCTATTTTTATAAATTGTTAGAGACTGTGATAACTCCTTTTACTTTTAAAAATGTTTTCAGATAAAATAACTTCTAAAAGTTTTTCCTCCGAAATGTTAAATGCCACGACCTCCCCAATCCCAAAACCAGGAAAAGACCCACAATATATATCCAACTACTGTCTGATTTCTCTCACAAATCTTGATATAAAAATATTAGCAGATAGACTTACTCAGATAATTTCAGATCTAATTCATTTTGATCAGTCTGGATTTTTAAGAGGAAGATCAGCTAGTGATAAGGTTCCACAGGTACCAATGGGTAATACAGTAGTACAGGTGCCAATGGGTAATACAGTAACGAATCAAAACACTCTAAAGCTTAAAACATAAGAAAAACAACCAGTGTAAAACTTTAAGACATACACAATAAAAACAAATACTATGCACTTACAAACACATACCTACTGCAAGTTGCATGAAATCAATATTCCCAGACCAAGCCCAGCATATCACTGCTTCCCACAGTCCTTCCTCAATAGGACTTCTGGACCAGATTCCAAAAGGAAGCAATGGTCCAGATGTGAAAATGACATAGTCCAATGCTCATTCAATGATTCCTCCAATGGTTTTCATACATGTTTTAAGCATTAAAGAGTGTGAACATTCATAACTATGTTACCCATTGGTACTTGTAGAACCTTATGTAAGATTAACAATACATGGACACTTATCATTGGAGTTCAGCACTTAAGAAAAATAAGCATTTAAACATTTCAGTGTATTGCACCTAAAGGGTTTAATATTAGTGTTATTCAGAGTATACAAGGTAAGGTCCAAACCTTAAAGGGACACTATAGTCACACACACAAAAAAATTGCTTAATGAAGCAGTTTTGGTGTATAGATCATGTCCTTGCAGTCTAACTGTTCAGTTCTCTGTCATTTATGAGTTAAATCACTTTGGTTATACAGCCCTAGTCACACCTCCCTGCATGTGACTTACACAGCCTTCCTAAACACTTCCTGTAAAGTGTTATCTAATGTTTATACTTTCTTTATTGCAAATTCTGTTTCATGTAGTATTTATTATCTCCTTTGCTGGTAATAGCTAGCTAGACCCTACAGGTGCCTCCTCTATGTAATTAAAGTTTAATTTACAGAGCAGGAGATACAAACGTTTAAAGTAACTTAGAATGTTCTTAGAATGAAAAACATACATTTTTACTTACCATAAATGTATTTTTCCTGAAGATTGTAGCTTATGCTAGCTTTAGTGTACCTATAATCTTAATTTTATTAATGACAGGAGGCGAGTTTTTGCTAACGTCTCTCTTTACTAGAACTCCACAGCAGCACAGAAAAACAACCAATCAGAAAAAAGTTAGGTACTATAAAACTCCCCTCCCCATGCATCATTTCCTCTTTCAAGCTGCGACAAAAACAGAATAAAAGGCAGAAAACTTAATAGGGAAGAAACAAAGTCCTAGATACAATGAATACAACGATGTCCACCATCCGAGAAGAACTGCCAAACCAGATAGCGCTGATGAACTGTAAACTGAAACGAGAGAAAAACAGAATCGAACAGGTTGATTATCCAATGAAATGTACTTTGAATAAACATGTAGGTACCCAATGTAGCAACCAAAAGTGCCTTAATATGTAGATATCCCAACCCTACTTATGAAAAAACAGACATAAGAACAGGCGACATGTAGCAGAGACAACAAGCAGAGTTGCATACGTACCTGATTAATCCAAACTATTAAAATTAAACAAGGGAGGAATAAGAATGGACGTTGAGTGTATTATTATTATTATTGCCATTTATATAGCGTCAACAGATTCCGTAGCGCTTTACAATATTTTGAGAGGGGGGGATGTAACAATAAATAGGACTATTACAAGAAAACTTACACGAACAATAGGTTGAAGAGGACCCTGCTCAAGTGCGCTTACAGACTATAGGAGGTGGGGTATTAGAAACATTAGGACAGAAAATATCAAGTAGGAGTGAAGCAGAGCTGGAGGAGAGAGTAAAGCACTGTCCCATAGGAGAGAGCAGGAGACAGGTAGAGATTACTCTGGGAGGCCATACGCGTTCCTGAAGAGATGGGTTTTAGGGCCCTTCTTAAATGATTGAAGACTAGGGGAGAGTCTGATGGCAGTAGGCAAGCTATTCCATAGGAGAGGAGCCGCCCGTGAGAGATCCTGCAAGCGCGAGTTGGCCGTATGGGTGCGAGCAGGGGTCAGGAGGTGGTCACGGGCAGAGCGGAGGGTACGAGGAGGGGCATATCTATGGATTAGTGAAGAGATATAAGAGGGGCTAGAATTGTTCAGTGCATTAAATGTATGGGTTAGCACTTTGAATTGACTCATACAGCATACAGGGAGCCAATGTAAGGACTGGCAGAGGGGTGAGGTGTGAGAGGACTGACTAGAGAGGAAAATCAGTCTAGCTGCAGCATTCATTACAGACTGTAGCGGGGCAATACGGCTTTTGGGGAGACCAATCAGTAGAGGGTTACAGTAATCCATGCGGGAAATTACTAGAGCATGGACAAGCTCCTTGGTAACATCTTGCGTAAGAAAGGGGCGGATGCGGGCTATGTTTTTGAGTTGGAACCTACAGGACTTGGCAACAAACTGGATGTGAGACTCAAAGGTGAGACCAGAGTCAAGTATGACACCAAGACAGCGTGCTTGCAGGGATGGACTTATGTGGATATCACTGACTTGAAGGGAGAGCAAGAGAGGAGGATCAGTATTAGGAGGAGGAAAAACAAGGAGTTCAGTTTTAGAGAGGTTAAGTTTCAGAAAGCGTGAGTACATCCAGTCAGAGATGGAAGAAAGGCAAGCAGTGACACGTTGCAGAACGGCAGGGGAGAGGTCTGGGGAGGAGAGGTATATCTGAGTGTCATCAGCGTACAGGTGGTAGTGGAATCCAAAAGAGGCAATAATTTTACCAAGAGAGGCAGTATAAAGAGAAAATAGAAGGGGACCAAGGACAGACCCTTGGGGAACTTCAACCGAGACAGGACGAGGGGAGGAGGTATCCTTAGGAAAGGAGACACTGAATGAGCGTTGGGAGAGATAGGAGGAAAACCAAGAGAGGACAGAGTCACAGAGACCGAGTGATTGAAGAGTTTGAAGGAGGAGAGCATGATCAACAGTGTCAAAGGCAGCAGAGAGGTCAAGGAGAATTAATATGGAGTAGTGACCTTTGGATTTAGCGGAGATTAGGTCATTAGTCACTTTGATAAGAGCAGTCTCAGTAGAGTGGAGAGGGCGGAAGCCAGACTGAAGAGGGTCAAGGAGAGAGTTGGAATTAAGGAAGTGGGACACATGGGTAAAGACAAGTCTTTCCAAAAGCTTTGATGAGAAAGGGAGCAGGGATATGGGACGATAGTTAGAAGGGGAGGATGGGTCAAGAGATGTTTTTTTCAGGATAGGTATTACAGTGGCATGTTTAAGGTCAGCAGGAACAGTGCCAGAAGAGAGAGAGCAGTTAAAGATGTGTGTTAGGGGAGGCACAAGACAAGGGGAGAGAGATCTGATGAGGTGAGATGGGACAGTATCGAGCAGGGCAAATGGTGGGGCGAGAGGAATGGAGAAGCGCAGTCACCTATTGTTCAGTAGCCGGGTAGAAAGTCTGGAGGGTAGGGAAAGCATGATTTACATGTGGTTGAGAAAGAGAACGGCAAGGAGGGGAGAATTGTTTCCTTAGCTGTTCAATCTTGTCGGTAAAGTAGCATGCAAAGCTATCAGCTGTAAGGTTAGTTTGGGGGGTGGCCACAGCAGGGTGGAGAAGGGAATTAAAGGTGTCAAAGAGACGTCTGGGATTGCGGGAGCATGAACTAATGAGAGAGGAAAAGTATGACTGTTTGGCGAGGGCAAGGGCTGCGCTTTATAAAAGCAACATGAATCTATAATGGAGAAAGTCTGCCTGGGTGCAGGACTTCCTCCAGGAGCGTTCAGCACAACGGGGGCAACTCTGCAGATAGCGTGTTGATTTATTATGCCAAGGTTGGGGTCGTGTCCTCCTCGAGGTGCATGTTTGAAGTGGGACTGCAGCGTTCAAGGCAGATGTGAGGGTAATGTTATATGTGGAGATGGCCAGTGAGGGACAGGGAGGGAAGGGATGATAGCAGTTGTGAATCAATGTCAGCTGGCAGCTGCTGGAAGTCAATAGAGTTAAGGTTCCTCCTGAGCTGAGGGGGGTTAGGCTGAGATTGTTGGGTGAGGGGGTAATTGAGAGCAAACGATAAGAGGTGGTGATCAGAGAGAAGAAATGGAGTGTTGCAGATATTAGATACTGTACATGAATAAGAGAAAATAAGGTTGAGGGCAGTGGCGTACACATGATCCATGGGGCCCCGGTGCGAAAATTGATCCGTGGGCCCCCCCGCGCTTACTCAGCGCGGGTCGGGGCCGCACCACATGGCGGCGGGCACCTGGGGCTGCGACCCCGCGACCGCGGTATGCACACACACTTAAAGGACCACTACAGACACCCTGATCACATCAGCTCAATGAAGTGGTCTGGGTGCCAGGTCCCTCTAGTTTTAACCCTGCAGCTGAAAACATAGCCGTTTCAGAGAAACGGCTATGTTTCACTGAGGGTTAATCCAGCCTCTGGTGGCTGTCTCATTGACAGCTGCTAGAGGAGCTTCCGCGATTCTCACTGTGAAAATCACAGTGAGAAGACACTGAACGTCCATAGGAAAGCATTGAGTAATGCTTTCCTATGGGCGGTTTAAATGCGCGCGCGCGCCTCTTGCCGCGCATGTGCATTCGGAGCTGAGAGGCGGAGGGATCCCCAGCGCCAAGGGAGTCCGACGCTGGAGAAAGGTAAATGCTGAAGACACACACACACACTCTCACGAACAGACGCATACACACTAGCTAACAGACACACACATTTACTGACAGAGACACACTCAGCGACAGACATACATACACACTCACTTACAAAACATACACTTTCACTGACAAACACACTCAGTAACAGACACACACAGTAACACACTCACTAGCAGACACACACCCAATAACAGACACACTCACTGACACACACACTAACACTAAAACACACACACACACATACATACACTAACACACACACACTAACACACACACACACATACACTAACACACACATACACACATACACACATACACTAACACACACTAACACACACACACTAACACACATACATACACTAACACACACACACCACACACACACACACCCAACACACACACACACACCAACACATACACCCAACACACACACACACACCCAACACACACACACACCACACACCAACACACACATACACCACACACACACACACACCAACACAACACACCAACACATACACCAACACACACGCACACACACATACATACACCAACACACACCACACACCACACACACCAACACACACACACATACACCAACACACACATTTTGATTAATCCCCCAGCCTCCTTACCTTTTGGAGTGCTGGGGGGATTCCCTGGGGTCCAGTGGTGCTGCTGGGCTCCTGGGCGGGTGGCCGGTCAGGCAGGCCGGCGCGCGAGGGAGCACTCACTGCTTCCTCTTCAGCTCCCTCGCGCGCCGCGTAGGGATGCCGGCGCCGGAAGATGACGTCATCTTCCGGCTCCGGCATCTGTGCGGTGCGCGATGGAGCTGAAGAGGAAGTACTGAGTGCTCCCTCGCGCGCCGGCCACCGAGACAGGGGGGCCCTGGGGTGGCCGCCTCCTGGGCCCCCCAGGAGAAGAGGCTGGCCCTGTGGCTACATACTAGGGTCGCAGGGGCGGCCGGGCCCCCTGGTGGGCCGGGCCCGGTCGCAGCCGCGACCCCTGCGACCCTGGTATGTACGCCACTGGTTGAGGGTATTGCCAGCTACATGAGTGGGAGAATTAGCCCACTGCAAAAGTCCAAGGGAGGAAGTAATTGAAAGTAGTTTAGAGGCTGCTGGGGTTAAAGGTGGGCTAATGGGAATATTGAAGTCTCCAAGAATTAGGGATGGGATGTTGGAAGAGAGGAAGTAGGGTAGCCAGGCAGCAAAGTGGTCAAGGAAGAGGAGAGGGGTAACCAGGGGGACGATAGATTACGGCAATGTTAGCAGAGAAGGGATTGAAAAGGCGAATTAAATGAATGAATTTCAAATGATGGGAAAGAGAGTGAAGGGGGGGTGGACAGGGTTTTAAAGGAGCAGTGGGGTGAGAGAAGAAAACCTACACCGCACCTTTAATCTCTGCTTGTCTTGGATTGTGGGTAAAGTGAAGACCACCAAAGGACAGTGAGGCAGGTGCAGCAGTATCAGAGGGAGAGAGCCATGTTTCTGTAAGTGCAAGTAGGTTTAGGGAGTGTGAAATAAATAGGTCATGAATGGAAGTAGATTTAAAGGTACTGCACACAGAGCGTGCATTCCAGAGGGCAGCTTTAAAAGAGGAATTATAGTGAGAATTCCATGGAATGGGTATTAGGTTGTTGTGGTTTCTGGTGTTTGTACCAGGTGGCTGAGTAGTGGCGGGACCAGGGTTTGGAGAGACATCACCTGCTGCTAGGAGTAGTAGGATGGAAAGGAAGAGAAGGTGGGAGTAAGATTTAAATGTTGGGGATGAGAGCTTGTATTTAGGGTATTTAGGAGGGGTGTGTGGAGAAAGGCTGGATAAATATGAGTAAAGTGTGTGTGATGAGTACAGAGATGAGGGGAGCAGAGGGGGAGCAATGAAGATGGTGTTAGCAGGAACAGGTAAGTAAAATGATAGAGAGATTTTAATGATGAGGGAAGTGAGAGAGAAAGTGTATAAGAGAGACGCGCTCTCTAATAATGTGACCGAATTCCTTGTCAGCATCCGGCTGATAGCCTGAGCGGGGCCGCACCCGTTAATAACCAAACAGTAGAGTCTACATCCGTGACCGGTTCTCTCAATGAGAATGTGTCACTCCAAACATGTCCTTTGTATCCAGCTCAGTATCAGCTGAGGTTGAGGGAGGGCAGCACCCTCTAATAACAAATCAGTGTCCGGTTCTGTATATGAGAGGGGTTCACTCTCTGTTCCTGAAAATAAAATATCATTCTCGGATCAGGGTGATGGAGGGCCGCATCCTCTTGTGATCCAAACTAGACTCAGGGTGACCAACTGCAGGGATACACCAATTACTAATATCAGCATAAGACTGAGGTCCTTAGGTGGGTCTCTCCCCAACCACGAGACCTCTCTCTGAATTGCTCACCTGAAAAAGGAATC